AACACCTCGCATTTGTCTTGTGGCGACGTCGTACGCTATTTATTGCCCATCCGTGTCCACGCGATCAAATACCACTACCCTGATATATGCCTCAACAAGTTCATTAGCTTAGGAACTAATTTTAGCTTCAAATGAGAGGAAGACATCCATTCACACAACAAAAAGTTTTTCAACTTCCTTTGCGTTCTAAAATATTTAAATTTTGAATCTGTCGACACATTAAAAAAAAGAAATTTGAATTTGGACTCGGAATTTGGTCATGTTTGTTTTCTTTTAAACATTCTTTTAGAATAGATAATGGAGAATGGCACGAGACTATCCCCCTTCAGCCTAAAATGTGAAGGGTGAGACATTGTTTTCTTATAATTTATGATCATCCGGTTTTAGAGGCAGGTGGCAGCCAAAGGTGCGACAAAGTGATAAATCATTTCGTACCAATATGAACGTAGCATATAAAATTCATGCACTTCAGTAATTTTGTTAAGAGATTTTGTTCAACGGCATTAATTTATGACGAACATAGTTACAATACTAGAAAACGTGTTTACTATACATTCTTCCATGTTACTACTTCATAAATTGATTTTAAATAGTGATGCACAGACATATATAGTAGCAGTAGAGGTCCTTGTGAAAGAGTTTGTCCAGGGAAGTACGGTGGCAACCTTAACTATTTCTGCCGCCAAGCAGTAATGTCAGCATTACTGTGTTCCGGTTTTGAAGCGTGCTGGTGAAATTACAGGTACATGGGACATGTCAACTTATGTCTCAGGCTCAAGGTGACGGGCGCAGAGGCAGTGCCCCTCAGATCTTTGCGATTTAAAACTCTAAGGATACTGCAATTGTTATGGACAGACGTATAGCTTACCATCAGGTGCACGACTTGTTCGTCCCGTGACTTGACATGACAAAAAAAAATTGCGTCCAAGAATGACCATTTTTAGCATTGTTTTCCGCCTCACTTTTTATTGAGTATTTTATACCCAAATAGTACGTTCTAGCTTGCATAAAAATAGTTAGGGATAATTTGTCCTTCTACGTGGGGATTAGGATTAGGAATTAGTGGTAATTGATTCATTTGACATTTTTGTCCGAATGTATTTTGCACCCAATTTGCAAAAGCGAACATTTTGCACTAATTGTCATTGAAAGTTATAATATCAGATTTAACACGGAATTGGCTTGAGACGATGAAAAAATTTAATACCATGCAATAAACGTTGCACGTTTTGCTTCCGTTCGGACAAACAGACTATACAATATGCACTTGCCACTCTCTAGAATTTTACGTATTGATTGACTAGTCCTCAATCCAAAAACTTTTCACTTAAAAAATTATTGAAAGGAGAAAAAATACAAGGTAACGCGTAATTGTAAGTAGGTGGTGTTTGTTTGCTTGCTACATATGACGTCACGTGATGTGTTTGGTATTTGCTTATCAGATTAATAAATATTACAATTTTTAGATTTTATTTATTGATTTAAAAATACAATTATCATTATTTGACAAAAATATTTACTAAATGATCGTTTTTAACATGTAAACATTCTTTCTAACTACATTTATTCGTATTATGCATTTATTAGCTTTTCGTCGATTTCCTGGTTCTTTGTTGTACAAACCTATAAGACCAAGTTACCTTAAGAGGCAAACGTTGAGTGGATGCTGCAATTGCGTCATTCTGATAATGTTTTACTTGTTATACACGCCTTTATTGTGTTGTTCTTACGATTTAATAATTATTTATTAAAATGAAAAATAAATTATCATGCCGTGACCAACAATAATCTAACCAAAATCAAATTTAAAATTTATTTGTGAAAATGTCGCCTTTTACATCACTAATGGAAATTGTTTATAATTTGTCGAAAACGAATTAAACTGTCCATGGACGACAATGGCTACGTACGAATAAGTTTTAAATATTGTATTAATAATAATACTAATTAATAACTATTTGCTTTCACATGGTACAAGATAATATAGTCAAGAGCAACTGCAAAAAGCAACAAGAGAGAGGGACCAGGGTTCCACCCAGCACATGCTGGAGGAGAGCCCCACGTGCGCCTCCGATCAGGCGAGATCTCTCTCCGCCAGGCATAGTGATCGGGAGAGGGTCGATCCCGCTTGGCAACCGCGAGGAGAACGACGGGGTGGTGTGGCCCGCTTCGTCCCGACGAAGGGACTAGCTCCTGCCAGGTGTTGAGGGGGTTCCGGTGCGCAAAGTCGATGCCGAATAACTCTCACTAGGGTTTTGGTTGGTAGAAGTCCGCAGCGGAGAAGTATCCCAAGATGATTTCTTCACGGAAAAAAGTCAAGAGCAACTCAATTGTGTGAAGAAACACGTGAAGTCCCCAACACTAAACCGTCTCCTTCTTCTACTACTCACTAGTGGACGGTACGACGTGTTATCATCACGAACAAAGATGTCAATGTCAACTAGGACCACGTTCAAGTCCAAAATCAAATTATCAATGTTAAACTTGTAAAAAAACATAAACCCGTTTTAAAATTCCTCTAAACAGACTCGGTGCGTTATATCTAAGTTCGAAAATCAAGTTAGTAGCGCGCGCTGTGCGCAGGCGGCGCCATAATTACAGGAGCCGTGATTAATGAGCTATCAGGTTAGGGTTGCTTTGTACGGTCGCCTTGAAAAGTGGGCTGCCAGATTGTTACGCCATTATATGCAATTGCATACCATATTAGCCTGTTATTTAGGACTTTGTACATGTATGTATTAGGTTCATTATTCTAATGTAATAAAAACTGCTGATGCGAGTCTTCATGCGTAAAAAACTCATACAAATGAACAATTAAATTTAATAACAGTGCAGTGCAGTACAAAATTCATGAAGATAATTGATTTATTTGTGGAAACAGTTTGTACAGAAGTTAGCTTGTAACACAATTAGTATAATTATATTTATTTTAAATATATTGATTATTATTTATATTAATACTCATCACAGTAGTAATAAATTAATATTCATTTTTTTTTGATAAATTACTCCACTAGTCTGTTGTAATTATTGTATTTACACTATTAATTTAAAGATTAACACTACACTTGAAACAATATTCCATCTCATGCATCGATAGTACCTTTTTTGTTAAACCTTGAAAAAATCCAGTTTTTGAATGTCGAATGCAACGGTCATAAAGATTAGAGGTTATGGGTTGATAACCGATAATAATGGTGCTCTAAGATGCTGGCCTTAAAAATGCACAAAAGAATGTATAAAAAAAGGAGTACTACAATGTTTAGTTTGGGGGTAAGAATTAGTGCCTATGCATACGGCGTATTATATCGCATATGTATCGCTCAATTTGATAAGAGATTGTTTTAATTTTTCTTTGTTAATTTCGGTTAGTTTTTAGAAATGAACCAACTACATGAAATTCTAAGTGTAAACTCGAGTACAGTATATAAGCTACTTGCTTGCAACGCGATGTTTCGAATCGGTTTAGTACAGTGCGTCGTCTGCGCGTGTAAAATACGTCGTGTGCATTCTTCTCTCTCGCGCTCTTAGACAAAAAGCACAGCCTACAGAGTTCCGACGCGCAAATTATTACAATTGGCCATTTTCCGTATACGAGTGAGGAACAAACATGAAATACATGTCTTCATCATCACATTAATACGTTCCACTGCCGGGCAAAGGTCTCCTCTCAGGCGAGGGTTTAGGCCGTTGTCTGCCACCCTCGCTGGCCCATTGCGGGTTGGGAACTTCGCACGTTTTCCGGGGGTTGTAAACCTTTTTCGACGCGCAGGTTTCATCACGATGTTTTCCTTCAAAGTTCATGGTAAATTTAAATTTCTTTTATAATATCAAGTGTCACTCTTTAAAACGCAGAGATCTGAGGCGTACCTACTGCCACTGCGCCCGTCAACCTGAGACATAAGTTGACAAGTTCCAAGTGCCTGCAATTTGACCAGCACCGTTACCCTTCTAAACCGGAACACAGTAATGCTTGTAATGTAATGCTTGTAATGTTCAAGATGTGAACCCACGTTAGTTTATATAGTCCAAAAAGTACGAGGTAACATTTTTTTTACATTTTACAAAAACGTTCATTGTGACAATTTTTTTTTATTTTATCAAGTGACGGGACAAACAACTTGTGCGCCTGATGGTAAGCTGCACGACAGTCCATAAAAGTTGCAGTGCCACTCAGAGCTTTAAATCGCAAATATCTGCCACTGCGTCTGTCACTCTGAGACATAAGTTGACAAGTTCCACGCGCCTGTAATTTGACCAGCACCGTTACCCTTCAAAACCGGAACACAGTAATGCTGACATTACTGCTTGGCGGCAGAAATAGGTAAGGTGACAGTACTTCCCTGGGCGAACTCTTTCACAAGGAGCTCTACTCCTGCTAAAAATTAGAAACTCAAAGGTGCGAACCCGGATTTGAACCCACGCCTCTCTGCTTGAGAGTCGGTAAGTCGAACCTTTAGGCTCCTACGGCTCTTGAAATATACTACCTCTAATACTCCAGCTTTTAATCGGATTTTTTGTGTATTGCGTATGTTACGCGGTTTGTGAAGCGATTTTGATGACTCTTTCTTTTGTACGTAAGAGGGTACCTCAGTTGTGGTCCCATTTAAATCTGAAGAAAATATTCCACCTCTACGGGTGGCAAACTAGGGCATGAATGACTTTTGATTATAAAAGCTCAGAATCGATTTTAAAAAACAGATAGAGTAACATACTTTGAATTGAGAACCTCCTCCTTTTTTTAAGTCGGTTAATTAAAGTATATTTAATACTTGCAGTGGTTATTGCCCGTGAGTCAAAATTCACGCCTAACGTCTGTGTGAACAGCCGCTCTGTTTTAAAAATATCTTTCCCTAAATTAATTAACTAATTGTAAACAACCCTTACATTATCTCCCACAATGCAACATTCCGCTTTACCAGTCTCATGTTAAGAGTGAATTTCGCAAATGAGGGTGTATTATTTTGAAATTTAGATGGCAGTGCTGCTTGGGATGCCAATAAGCCGGGGATTTCCAGCTGCGCCTGATTAATGCCGAGACACGTCGAAACTGTAAGTAGACGCTTGGAATAATTTAGACTAAAATCCGGCAGAAATTAGAAAGATCCGCTACCAATGTTGCGCTTTAACTGTGAAGAATAACGCTAATTAGTAAACAAATCTGGAACCAGCGGTCATACTAAACTGAATTTTTTTTTAAATCTCTCAACTACAAATTTAAAGCCATTTGTTATACTAATAATCTCAGTACAGAGTATTAAAAAAACCGACCTTAGAAGTCATTCATCGTTTAGTTTGCCACCCTTAGAGGTGGAATATTTACTTCAAATTTAAAAGGGACCACTGCTGAGGTGCCATCATTCCAACAAAAAAAGTATTAAAAAAGTATTATGCCAACGTGTAACATATACAAAAAAACACATCCTTTTTTTGGAGTTGGTTAAATATGATTAATATAGAAGAAAAGAAAAATAAAATCTAAAAATTAAAAACCACTGAGACTTTTTACACATAAGCTATTGTTTTTTTATTTCTGTTTGTTTTCACTGTCAATTTAAATTTCTGTTCTGTGTCCTTTTTTCTTTTCATTATTTCATATGCTTGTGTGAGCTTATGCTATCTATCTAGCTTATTACTATAGTCAAAGGCTGAAAATTTCATAAAGAACCTCTGGAGCATCAGGCCTAGGAAGCTTTTATCGTTTCCTCCCTGGATAGGTAAACTTATTATTTGGCGGAAGTAGCCGCCAGTCTTCTGAGTACCTCAACGAACCCATTATGCAAATATTTATTAGTAAATAATTCAAAACTTATAAACGTGAAAACGCCATAACTTAAAATAGTCAACTTTTATGGTATAATAATCACTCCCACATTGCAGTGACAGAATAAATCTTAAATTAATAAAATAGGCTATAATATACGAAACTAATACTAACACTAGAGATAATTCAAATACAATATGAAATACGTTAATTAAATGTACCTACACAATTGGCTTAAAAGGTTAGAGCGTCCAAAACCGAATAATTAAAAAAAAAAACGAAAATATAAATTTAATGTTAAAGTGGCATTTCACTCTCATTTCCAATGTTAAGCGTCACGGCGCGCCGTCTGCGCACTTATATTTGCACAATTATGTACCACCTGTCTTTACGCTTTATTTACAAATACAGAGTCCTTGCAATTTCGTTTGAGGTCATCCTCTATTTGATTATTAAAAACACTCGTGTAAACACGTGGCTGCTGACATGGTTTAGCTCTTTATTCATCAGAGATCTATGAGGAATGACGATTCCTAACCAGAGCGTAGCAGTCTTTACTATTTTTCTTTTTAACCAACTTTAAAATAGGAGAATAGAATCTCAATTCGTCTCTATAACTTTTTTTGTTACACGATTACTCCAAGATATGTGAACCGATTTCAATGAGTGGTCCCATTCAAATTTTAAGAAAATATTCTCTAGTCTACCTCTTAAGGGTGGCACATTAGGGGACTAATCCAGTTTATTGAATATCCCCCACTTTCCGTTAACCAATATCTATAATGACACTTAGGTACACGTTTTAGGTACAATTCCATTGACAATGAAATGTTATTATTATTATTATTTTTATAACACCAAGTAACGGGACAGTCAAGTCGAGCGCCTGGTGGCCAGAGCGACACGCCTGTCCATAGCAGTTGCAGTGCCACAAAGAGCTTTAAATTCCAAAGATCTGAGGGGTATAGCCATTAACCCGTAATCCTGAGACGTGAATCGACAAGTTCCATGTGACTGTAGTTTCACCAGCTCCGTTACCCTTCAAAACCGGGACGCAGTAATGCTGACATTACTGCGGTACTTCCCTGGATGAACTCTTTCGCAAGGAGCTCTACTGCTATTCAATATGTGCAGTCAACAGTAAATCAAGCTGTACACTTGTTCGAATATCGCCTCCAGCAGCTTGATTTTAATTGCCTCTCCCGATCGGAAACTGCGTCTCTTCCGAGTGGAGGCGCATAATTGCGATTCACAACTGGCCGATCGGAAACTTTTTCTAATCGGAACAATAATTGATTCAACTCACAATTAGAATTATATAGTATAGGAATCAGGTTCATCTTTTCGCTCTGAAACTCATCTGATTTCGAGACTACCCGATCAGTTCTATTCCGATGTGAATCAAAATCAGCATGCACAACAACAGAACAAGATCCGTCTATGTTTAGCTTGATATGCTGCCGTCCGTACTATATTTTTTATGTGTAACTAGCAATTACCTTACTACGCTCGTGTATTTGGAAGAAAGTTCTGGAACTATTGTAACAAGTTCTCACGGTTCATTTGACGTTTTTGAACAAAGTATCGTCAGGTTTTTTTTGTTCTATTACAGCTAAGTGGGTGGCACTTCAAGCAAGTTTATAACATTTCGAAAGGGCGTATAAAATTTCAGAGTCAAGTACAACCGATGTATTCGGGCGTGAATAACGATTGCGCACAATAGCCAGTTATTGCTGTAATTGAAGTAGGTAACCTAACGTGCTTAATTATTCTACAATACTAACCGACCCCACTATAGCATAGTGATGGGATGGGGTGATTATGTCGATAGAAGTACGTATCAATCTTTTAAATTTAGATTTAGAATGTTTAATCAACTATTTTTTAATTTTAAAATCTTTTCAGAATAACGACACACTACTTATTCGTCCACTTTTTATATATTCCCTATTTTAGTAGTAGTAGAACCAGTAGAGCTTCTTGTGAAAGAGTTCGTCCAGGGAAGTACTGCCACCTTACCTATTTCTGCCGCCAAGCAGTAATGTCAGCATTACTGTGTTCCGGTTTTGAAGGGTAACGGTGCTGGTCAAATTACAGGCGCGTGGAACTTGTCAACTTATGTCTCAGAGTGACAGGACGCAGTGACAGATATTTGCGATTTAAAGCTCTGAGGGGCACTGCAACTTTTACGGACTGGCGTGCAGCTTACCATCAGGCGCACAAGTTGTTTGTCCCGTCACTTGGTAAAATAAAAAAAAATTGTCACAATGAACGTTTTTGTAAAATGTAAAAAAAATGTTACGTCGTACTTTTTGGACTATATAAACTAACGTGGGTTCACATCTTGAACAACACCTATCCCGTTCTATCAATGACTTATACTTACACTTAACTTTGTTCATTGAATAAAATACAATAAAATAAAAATAGGTACATATGTATATAAGGTATTCATAAGTAGTGGTGAATTGTCGCTTATGAAAGCTAAGTAAGACTTAGTTATGACCAAAAATGTCACTGTAAGGGAACGATGGGAACGTTATTCAAATACTGACAAAAAACAACAACACTTCTATTAACCTTCATTATTTTCTTTAAACACTTAAAATACGTTACTTGTTTTCTTCACCCCTAAACCTCTATCGGTTTGTGTGGGAGCTGCATAATGCTCTTAAAATTCTATCACAAATACGAGAGAATCGATAAAATTAAAAAATACAATTAATTACGGATCATTTTGAAAGTTGGCAGCAAGAGAAGTACCAATTTTTGTAATCACACTACTCTTAAAAATTTGTTCTACAAGAACCCCATGCACACAACTTTAAAACCGTCTGTCTATATCGTTTTTATATCAAAGTCTGCATAACTGACCTCAAAAAATAAAAATAAAAAGAGAATTCATTGAGCAAAAAAAGTAGGGAGAACATTTTATCGTAATTACACTACATGTGCGTCAAACATTCGTATTGCCCGTTGGCACGCGATTACGACAATCAATTTAAAGGTACTTAATATAAAATTGCATGTATGTACGTCACTATCAATTTCAACAATGCATGCGAACTATAATTTGACAACAATATTCAACAAGTCTTGAGGCCGATAGGCAATTCTTATACAAAGAAACCTCAATGTGAAAATATCAGTACGCATTTATACATAGTTTGTTTTTATTATTAAATAATTTTTTATTAAAATAATTACAGCGTTAAAAAAGGGGTACAATTTATCTGATTAAAATGCTCCGCATTTTTATCACATTTTTTATCTTTGTCCTTAAAAATGAGAAAGAAATAACATACGAGATATTCACTCTAATGTGCATGTATGTTCATAATAAGCTCAAAGAAGGACTTTGTAGTTCGAAACCAGGTAAAGAAACCTCTTTGTACAAGAATTGTATCATCACTCATCATCTAGTAGCAGTAGAGCTCCTTGTGAAAGAGTTCGTCCAGGGAAGTATCTACTGCTAACCTAACCTATTTCTGCCGCCAAACAGTAATGTGAGCGTTTTGGTTTTGAAGGGTAAGGGTGCTGGTGAAATTACTGGTACATGGAACTTGTCAACTTATGTCTCAGAGTGACGGGCGCAGTGGGATTCGATTTGTGATTTAAAGAACTGAGTGGCACTGCAACTGTTATGGACAGGAGTGTCGCTTACCACTAGGTGCACCACTTGTTCGACCCGGCACTTGGTATTATAATAACATAACCTCATTACGGAGTACTAAAAAAACCGACCTCAAAAGTTATTCATCCCCTAGATTACCACCCTTAGAGGTCGAATATTTTCTTCAAAATTAAATAGAACCACTTCTGATGTACTCTCCTTCCAACAAAAAAGAATCATCAAAATCGGTTCACAAATGGCGGAGTTATCCCGTAACAAAAAAAAAACCATACAGTCGAATTGAGAACCTCCTCCTTTTTTGAAGTCGGTTAAAAAAATATATTATCGGCAATCAATTATAAGTCCCATTGCTAAGTACCGGTCTCCTCTAAGTTGAGGTTTAGACTATAGTTTCCCTAAGTGGTCCCTACCGCCGCCCAGTGGGCGCTGAAGATTCCTAAAGGAGCGGTAAGGACCTCGGAAGCAATAGGGGTCGTTGAAGCTGCCCAGGGAATGATACCGCAAAAAAAACATGAATTATCTATGTAAAGTACACTACATATGTATGAATTTTTTTCTTGTGATATTTATGTTAGGTTTAATATAAAAAATACGTGTTTTCAATTATTTTTGTGCTGGTGGGCGTTGAAATTTTTTTTATCTGGCCGAAGTCGG